GGTCAGCCTGTAGGTAGAACTGGACAACATGGCTCTCCACAAAGGTCGAATACAGATTCAGGTCAGCCTGTAGGTAGAACTGGACAACATGGCTCTCCACAAAGGGTGAATACAGATTCTGATCAGCCTGTGGATAGAACTGGACAACATGTCTCTCCACAAAGGGTGTTTACAGATTCAGGTCAGCCTGTAGGTAGAACTGGACAACATGGTTCTCCACAAAGGGTGTTTACAGATTCTGGTCAGCCTGTAGGTAGAACTGGACAACATGGTTCTCCACAAAGGTCGAATACAGATTCAGGTCAGCCAGTAAGTAACCCTGCGCAACATAGCTCACAGCAAGGGCCAGGAATAAGTACTAGTCAATCAGTAGACAACAGTGGACAACATGTAAATGTTACTGTCACTCTAAATATGAATGGTTCATCACATTCTATAAATGCAAATTCTGGTCGACCAGTAAGCAGCCCTGGACAACATGATTTTCAKGGAGAGAGTTCAAGCTTTAATGAAAGAGGAACTGTCTCCAATCAACCTCGTCAACAAAGCTCTACACTGCRGCGTCCAAGTCAGAGTAGAAGTAATGGTGATGTCGAAAGAGCTTCATATGGATCTTGGCCAAGGCGTATCTATCCTCAACATGCAGGTATTGTAAAACACTTTTTCTACCGCGATTGGTTGTATTATCCCCACTGATGAAACACAATGCGTAGAATTTTAAAAATGCACTATTCTAAATAACTTTCGTACTTTTTATTTTGAACTATACAACTTTTAGATGGTCTGTATAAGTAGGGTATTGTTTACAAATGCGGTAATTGCACAATGAGAGTGRTTTGATGAAATCTCTGATTTAAAAGACTTCATCAGACGTCACAGTATTCCGTCCGACTCATATGAAATAATAAAATAGGGATAGTTTACAGAGTGTTAATTGTATGCCACATTTACTAATGTAATTATTTTCATTTTTCTAACTAAGCACGAAGATCATTTATTGAAGAGAACTTTGAAGACCTCTTGCTCAACCTTTCACCACGTGTCAGTGTGGACTGGAGAACACTTGGAGGACACCTTCGRCTAGAACCCTACGAATTATCAAACATAGATGAYGAGTATCGTAGAACAGAAGACAAAGCATACCAAATGCTCCTGAAGTGGAAACAAAAGAATGGAAGAGCAGCAACACCACAAGTTCTTGTGGCAGCTCTTCGTGCGACAGGGAGAAATGATTTAAGTGATATTGTTCAAGGTAGTGCCTCAACCTCTTTAGGGACTGCGCAATATGTATCAGGAGAGGGTTAGGAGGGGGAGGGGGGAGGTTGAGATTTTAGCCAAAAAATCAAAAAAGTTAATAACTATTCCCCTTCCCAAACGAAATAAATTACGCTCTGC